ATACACTACACTACACACTACACTATACACTACTATACACTACACTACACTATACACTACACTATACATTACACTATACACTACTATACACTACACTATACACTACTATACACTACACTATACACTACTATACACTACACTATACACTACTATACACTACACTATACACTACTATACACTACTATACACTACACTATACACTATACTATACACTACTATACACTACACTATACACTACACTATACACTACTATACACTACACTATACACTACAATACACTACACTATACACGACACTATACACTACACTATACACCACACTATACACTACACTATACACTACACTATACACTACTATACACTACACTATACACCACACTATACACTACACTATACACTACACTACACACTACACTATACACTACTATACACTACACTACACTATACATTACACTATACACTACACTATACACTACACTATACACTACTATACACTCCACTATACACTACACTATACACTACTATACACTACACTATACACTACACTATACACTACACTATACACTACACTATACACTACACTATACACTACTATACACTACACTATACACGACACTATACACTACACTATACACCACACTATACACTACACTATACACTACACACTACACTATACACTACTATACACTACACTATACACTATACACCACACTATACACTACACTATACACTACACTACACTATACACTACTATACACTACACTACACTATACACTACACTATACATTACACTATACAATACCATACACTACACTATACACTACACTATACACTACTATACACTACTATACACTACACTATACACTATACTATACACTACACTATACACTACTATACACTACACTATACACTATACTATACACTACTATACACTATACTATACACTACACTATACACTACACTATACACTACACTATACACTACACTACTATACACTACACTATACACTACTATACACTACACTATACACTACTATACACTACTATACACTACACTATACACTACACTATACACTACTATACACTACACTATACACTACACTATACACTACACTATACACTACACCAGTGGTTCTTAACCTGGGGTGCACGCACCCCCTGAGGGTGCAAGATGCCCTTTCTGCGGGTTGTAGCGAGACGTGGACAGATTTTATTCTAGAAGGTAAACAATCGAAAACACAAATGAAGCCCCGGGCACGTAAGCACCGACTTACTTTGTTTCATCAAACCTACGTGCGGTATTTTATTAACGTTCTACAATTTCTTTTTTTACGATTGGGAACCAAAGGGGTGTGATGCTGCAGCATCGGTTACGAGCCACTCGGTCTGGAACATCGCCAGGATGTTACTGAAACGTCTCCGTGCATGACAATCGCTATTTTTCAAACTCAAACAGCGTGCATTCCACTGCTGGATGAGGGCCTCCCAACATCGTGCGGGTTTTGATGGGTGCTAGTTTGACCATATTTCACCACACGCTGCTCAGTGCTGATTGGTTGAGGAGGTGGTGGGAGGGGGGTCATAGAAGTACAGGCGTACACCGCATAGCGTGCGACAGGCATGCTTGTGGAATAGGGCGCAAGTGGAATCGCGCTGTATGAAGTTGATTTTCCCATAGACGTTCATGTTATGAGGGGGGTTGTGGATGCGTTACCGAAGACAAGTAAAGTTTCATTTCGTAATAAAATTTTAGCCCTGGATTTGCAAAATACGTATACATGTAATACTTAATAATATATATTTTCGTAACATTACAAAAAGAAAAAGCTCTTAAGTGAGGAGTTTAATCACAATTACTAATAATTAATATGAAAAAGATCGCTTAAAACTTTCGTGACTGCAGGAATTCATATTCTTGGTTCTTTCGGTAATGTCACGTAGGTAGAAAATAAAAATAATTAAATGAAATTTAAAATAAAATAAAAGCAAAAAACCCACGACGTTTCGATCGCTACACAAGCGGTCTTCATCAAGCGAAATAACCACGAATATGAAGGCGACTACTTCTTCATCATCATCATAATGGGACCTCCTTTGCCAGTGCACCAAAATATGAGAATAGGATTTCCCCTTTTTCCTGGCAACAAAACAACAGCTGTGTGAAGATGTTCAAACACCAAACTGAGACCTTTTTACAAGGAATCACGTCTGCCTTAACCCACAATACTTGTGGTCAGAACGCAAACAAAAACACTTCCGCGACTACTGCTTCCACAAGGGGTAACGTCAGGGCTTCTAGATCATCTTTTCCGTGAGCTGCTTCATCCACTCGGATTCTAGGCCCACCGCAGCCCGCGACGCTGTCACGCCGTCCGATTGAGATCTTCGTTGTCGGGTTCGCCTGCGAAATGTTTATTTTAAACTCCTCCTTCTATCGATTGAAAATATTTTTTTGTCTTTTTAAAAGTTCAATGCTAGTGTTTGTTGTTGTTATTGTTGTGGTTTCGCTTGCGCGCGTAACTGCGGAACGCAGAGCGTAAGTGGGAAGTATAATGCGTTGGCTTTCACGACCAATATCATCCATAATTACAGGGGGGGGGGGGGGGGTTATATCGCGTAAATATATAAATGTGTCGTTAAACCCGCCACCATCCGACACAGCCAACTAGTGAGGGTTGTCACGTAAACAGAACGTGGCCAATTCGTCACTAGTACAGCACACCGGTGTGTTGGAGAGCAAATCCACAACATTTACAATCTGTATTTACAAGCTGAGTACGACGTTTCAAAACGAGTCACTGCTGGCCAAGACTAATGAGGGACTCTACCGAAATGGAGAGAAATAAAAAATGTTTTTAACCGTTCGGATAGCTACAGACGTAGTGCCCGCTTGGAAGCGAATCATCAAAATGACATGTTGTTTAAATGCACGCTTCAATAGGTCGCCACACGTCAATGGTGATTACCTGTGAGCAGACAGTAACAGATGCTGCTACATATTCTTGGTTCTTTCGGTAAAGTCACGTAGAAGGGAAACAATAAAATAATAAAAATATGAAACAATAAAATTCTCAACGACGTTTCGACTGCAACACATCAGGTGTGAAAACCACAGCAAGAAAATTTTCAAATTTTCAAATTTTCTTCAAATTTTCTTGCTATGGTTTTCACACCTGATGATGATTGCTTGCGCTGCAGTCGAAACGTCGTTGAGAATTTTATTGCTTTATATTTTTATTACTCAACTGTTTCCCTTCTACGTGGCTTTACCGAAAGAACCAAGAATATGAATCCCCGCAGTCACGAGCAGCTTTAAATCAAACGATGCTGCTACCTTAGTGCACACAAACAACAGGCGGTACGATAACAATGTGCATGCATAATGTGCGTTGATGAATACGCATTGTGATTTATACGCATCCATTAATTTCTCCTCCCCCCCCCCCCCCACTTCGTCGCACACGAAGGGCTCACAAGTGACGTCATCACATGTACCGCTCTGTTTAAAGCTGTCCCCTGATGATGCCGGTTGTAATTATTACTGGCGAAACGTCACCGCGCTCGCATGGTGAACGCTGTGGATTTGCTCTCCAACACACAGCAACGAATTGGCACGTTCTGTTTCACGTGAAAAACCTTACTAAATTGGCTGTGTCGGATGGTGGCGGGTTTAACGGCACATTTATATATTCACACGCGATCTAACTCTCAAAAACAAACAAACAAAAAAAAACCTGTATCATGAGTGTGAAGTATGTCCCGGAACGATGAATCTCGCTACTGTGAATCCGCGCGATTGTGCCAGGGTGGGAGGCACGTTATGGGAGGGACGCCTGTACATTGCCACGATATATTTAGTTGATAGTTTTTTTTATATATATATGCATAGATGCAATATGTTTCGGATTTGCAATGCAATATATATCGGGTGGCACCTCCGATTAGCATCGTTGGCTGCGTATTGTGGAAAATCATTTAAAATTTACATACACATATGATGCATGCCATCTCTTTTGTAATGAATTTAGGACTTTACAAAGAAAGGATTATTACAGGTTAAATACGCAATGTCAGACGCGGTGTGGTCGCTGTGATGTTAGTGGTGGTGATGTTGGTGGTGATGGCGGTGGTGGTGATGACGACGATGGCGGTGGTGACGATGGTGATTGAGACTGTAAATGAGCGGTCTTTTTTTTTAGGTCACGGCGTCTGGCAGAGGCGTTAGGCGCGGTGACCTCTTGACCCCACCCCCCCCCCCCCCCCCTTGACCTCGATAAGTGGCCGAGAATAATGCAGCACATTGGCTTCGCTGGGGTGAGAGCACGTGCGCTGGGTGATCTGCACCACTCGCCGTGGCTTAGCGAGGAGCGTAAATCCGCGCAAACAAGGGGGCTCCCGCTCGCCATCGAGCGAATCTGCGGCGCTCGCGACGCAGCGCCGTTCGCTTGCACAACGCGCGCAATTGCCTGTTACGTAAGCTGCAACGGCGGGAGTTGATCTCATCGAAATTTTCACATTTATTGGAGGGCATTCACTCACGGCGGCTTGACGTCGTTCCAAACGCGGCGACGGAGGAAGAATGATTTACGTGGCAGGGGCGTGCTTACAAGGATTGAGGAATGAGCGGCCGGGATACGCTCTCGGCTGCTACGACTCCGACTCATTTTTTTTTGTTTTAATGTTGCCAGGTAAGGCCCACTCAGCGGTGCAGCTCTGGTTCGCAAGCGACCTGGTCGCAAATGGGAGCTCAACGAAAGTGGCTCATCATCATGTGGACATTTTTAGCAGGCGGATACTCTTAACGCGCGATGTTGATTTTAAATGCGGAGGGAAAACCCGAGGACCCGGATAAAAAATTCCACTCGACCACGGGAAGAGAGAGAGAGACACGAAAGCTCCAAAATATACAGGCATCGTCAGGGTTGACCTCCCGCATACCAAACGAGGTAGTTAACACAAAGGGGTAGGGAAGGGACTTAAAGGAGTGGGGGGGGGGGGCGAGAGGTGAGCAGCGATTGTTCATCTTAGGTTATTATCCCTCTCTGAACGTGCCACGAACGTGGCTTGAGAATAGCTTACGCTGTGGACAAACACGGGTGGAAATTCCACGCAGGAGAGGAGTCTGTCCATAGAACAACCATATGCTGACTTCCCCACGAAGTTGTACCAATTTTAGCGGCCCAGGATGGACGGATGGATGATGGGCTGAGTCAACCCCCAAGCCAATCAGATTATGAACTCGCTGTCCCTGTGGTTGGAGTCGTCAATCACCTCAAGAGAGAGGGAGAGAGACAGATCTGTTGAGCAGGACTGGCCGACTTCCAGGTCTGCAATAAACGCATCTTGAGTTTGTCTTCGGCTGTAAGCGCGTCACCTGATTGTCTCCTGACGACAGCTCCCCCGTGTCCGTGTGCAGGCCGCGTGACGGGCATCCCCGGCTCGATCCAGGGAGGGTGGGGGGACGTGGGGTGGCGACGGTGGTGGTAACCGTGGTGGAGCTGGAGGAGGAGGTGCTGGTGGAGGAGGAGGTGGTGGAGGAGGAGGTGGTGGACGAGCAAATCGGAGGCCTCGATGGATCTGCTCGGAGTGGCCCCGTGACGGACGCCGCTCGCCATGGACATTGTCGACGAGAATGAGGCTCTCAGTCGCTTCTTCGAGAGGACGGGAGCCGGTGAGTGAGCGGTCGGGATGGGTGGTGGCCACGTTTCGGTTCCACGGTTGCGCGCGCGAGAGAGAGAGAGCGGCGGCGGCTATCACGGTGGCCGCGTCGGAGACACAGCCACCGGTTCGCGCGTGGGTGCCCACGTTCTGAGGCCTCGAGGGCCTCTCTCGCTCGCTGTTTTGTTGGACCGGCTGGCAGTGGCCGTGTCGGAGAAGGCGGGTTGCGCGCGTGCGCGTTAAGGGCGCTTGCGTGTCACGCTGCGTCCGTTTGTACGCGCGGATTTGTGTACATCTGTGGGTCTCTGTGCACGTCAATGGGTCTCTGTGCAAGCCTGTGGGTGTCTGTGCAAGTCGGTGGGTCTCTGTGCAAGTCGCTGGGTCTCTGTGCAAGTCGGTGGGTCTCTGTGCAAGTCGGTGGGTCTCTTTGCAAGTCGGTGGGTCGCTGTGCACGTCAATGGGTCTCTGTGCGAGTCGGTGGGTCTCTGTGCGAGTCGGTGGGTCTCTGTGCACGTCAATGGGTCTCTGTGCAAGCCTGTGGGTGTTTGTGCAAGTCGGTGGGTCTCTGTGTAAGTCGGTGGGTCTCTGTGCAAGTCGGTGGGTCTCTGTGTAAGTCGGTGGGTCTCTGTGCAAGTCGCTGGGTCTCTGTGCAAGTCGGTGGGTCTCTGTGCAAGTCGGTGGGTCTCTATGCAAGTCGGTGGGTCTCTGTGCAAGTCGGTGGGTCTCTGTGCATGTCGGTGGGTCTCTGTGCAAGTCGGTGGGTCTCTATGCAAGTCGGTGGGTCTCTGTGCAAGTCGGTGGGTCTCTATGCAAGTCGGTGGGTCTCTATGCAAGTCGGTGGGTCTCTTTGCAAGTCAGTGGGTCTCTGTGCATGTCGGTGGGTCTCTGTGCAAGTCGGTGGGTCTCTGTGCAAGTCGGTGGGTCTCTGTGCATGTCGGTGGGTCTCTGTGCAAGTCGGTGGGTCTCTGTGCAAGTCGGTGGGTCTCTGTGCATGTCGGTGGGTCTCTGTGCAAGTCGCTGGGTCTCTATGCAAGTCGGTGGGTCTCTGTGCAAGTCGGTGGGTCGCTGCCCAAGTCGGTGGGTCTCTGTGCAAGTCGATGGGTCTCTGCCCAAGCCTGTGGGTCTCTGTGCAAGTCGGTGGATCTCTGTGCAAGTCGGTGGGTCTCTACGATGAAACTCGTTGGCCTGCGCCACGCGGGTGAACCCACAGACAACACCGGGAGGGCTCCCCTGATGGCTTGGCCTGGCGCTCGTTGGTTTCGATTCACGGAGACCCCAACCCCACCCCCCCCCCCCAGCAGTGGTAACAGCGGTCAGTGTACGGCCGTATTTGGAGCCGGGGAGGGAATCATTGGAGTCGATGCGAGAATGGGCTCCTCCTCCTCCTCATCGCAACGAGCGAGCGGTCAATAGCTCTAAGTGGTGAAACTGCTCCGTCATGTTGACTCAAACCATTAGGGACCCTTGATAATCTCATAAATACTGACGGGCGCGTTCGATATCAACCGCTGAGCGCGACATTTATTTGTTTAGGCAGGAGGTGAAAAGTGAGTTATGCATCCGCGGTGGCTCTGCGAGTTTTGTGAGCTCACGTGAACTCTCACTCACCCACTGACTCACTCATCCACTCACTCACCCACTCACTCACTTACTCACCCACGCACCCACTCACTCGTCCACTTGCTCACTCACTCACCACCTCATACACTCACTAATCCCCTTACTCACCCACTCACTCAAAAACTCACTCAATCACCCACTTACTCACCCACTCACTCATCTACTCACTCATCCACCTACTCACCCACTCACTCACCCACTCACTCACTAACCCGCTCACTCACCCACCCAGTCACTCACTAATCCACTTACTCACCCACTCACTCATCCACTCACTCATCCACTTATTCACCCACTCACTCACCCACTCACTCATCCGCTAACTGATCCACCTACTCATCCACTCACCCACTCACTCACTCATCCATTCACTCGTCCACTCACTCACCCACTCACTCACCCACTTACTCATCTATCCACTCACTGATCCACCTACTCATCCACTTACGCACCCACTCACTCACTCACTCGTCCACCTACTCACCCACTGACTCACCCACTCACTCGTCCACTCACCCACTCACCCCACCACACTCACCAAACTGCAGATTGCCCGACTTCTCTCTCTCTCTCTGCTTCTTCCCTCGCACTGCTCCACTGTGGAGTTTCCTCCTCCCGTCACCACCACCACCGCTGCAGTCCTTATCGCGACAATCCGCTCAATCTCTCCTCGCGTCCTCGCTGAGTTCCACCTCGCTCCATCTCCCCGGTGGAAGTGCCCTCTCTCTCCCTCTCTCTCTCTCCCGAGTTGGTTCCCTCCTTTGGCTGCCACTCCGGCGTTAGCCTCAATCGCCATCATCATCGTCATCGTCGTCATCATCGTCATCATCATCGTCATCATCGTCGTCATCGTCGTCATCATCGTCATCATCATCATCATCGTCATCATCATCGTCATCATCGTCGTCATCGTCGTCATCATCGTCGAGTTGTCATCGTCACCGCCCTGCGAGTCGCGACGGGTCCCACCCGAGCCCTCTCGCGCGAGGTCCACTTCGGTCTGACGCCAAAAAATAAGCCGCTGCTGAAATGACCATTGAGGCATCGGCCGTGAACGCAGCGGTGGAAATTCCACGTTCCTATGGCGTGCGAGAGCTTCATCCAAACGACCCAACCGCTGTCGACTTTCACCATTAAGCGGGGGGAGGTGGGGGGGGGGCGGGGGTTATTTTTGATCAACCCCCCAACCTCCTCCCCCCCGGACGGGCGATCGTCCGAGTCAACCAGGACTGGAGCTCTCAAACTTCCCAATGAAGGAGCCAATCAAGAGGGGGGCCTCGAGGTCTCCACGTGTGGGCCTGTAGCCAGGACGCACGCCGCGTGTGGAACCCACGAAGCAGCGTAACAAATCGGAACACGACCACCGCGGCGGGAACAGCAAGCGCCCGCCACGTTCGCTCTGCCGCGGAAGATACCAACAAGAACCCTCGCAGGGTGAACGTTAGTCGGACGTCAAACACGACCCTCAATAGCGCTTCGTGGCCTCAAAAGAGCCGGTGGGTAAATGTTTACGTGCATACACAAGAGACGTTTCTCGGGCAATGGCCCTTCCTCGGTGCGCGGTACAACCGTCATGGACCGACGCCAGTGGGGATCGCTCTCTGCCGCGTCTCGACAACGGCGAGGGCAAGGGCAATGCCACGTGGAGGAGGAGGAGGGTGCGGTGGAGAGGTCCTCCATGGATGGAGCGATCCCGGGACTCCTCCGACAAACTGCGAACGCGGTGGCGAGAAGCGAAGCATCGGGCGCACAGCACCGGTGACTCCACCAACACAACCACACGTACTCTGGTGGAGCAAGCGGACTAGTCCACTCAGCTACCCCAACACAACCACGTGTACTCTGGTGGAGCGAGCAGACTAGTCCACTCAGCTACCCCAACACAACCACGTGTACTCTGGTGGAGCGAGCAGACTAGTCCACTCAGCTACCCCAACACAACCACGTGTACTCTGGTGGAGCAAGCGGACTAGTCCACTCAGCTACCCCAACACAACCACGTGTACTCTGGTGGAGCAAGCGGACTAGTCCACTCAGCTACCCCAATACAACCACGTGTACTCTGGTGGAGCAAGCGGACTAGTCCACTCAGCTACCCCAACACAACCACACGTACTCTGGTGGAGCGAGTGGACTACTCCACTCAGCTACCCCAACACAACCACGTGTACTCTGGTGGAGCGAGCAGACTAGTCCACTCAGCTACCCCAACACAACCACGTGTACTCTGGTGGAGCGAGCGGACTAGTCCACTCAGCTACCCCAACACAACCACGTGTACTCTGGTGGAGCGAGTGGACTACTCCACTCAGCTACCCCAACACAACCACGTGTACTCTGGTGGAGCGAGCGGACTACTCCACTCAGCTACCCCAACACAACCACGCGTACTCTGGTGGAGCAAGCGGACTAGTCCACTCAGCTACCCCAACACAACCACACGTACTCTGGTGGAGCGAGTTGACTACTCCACTCAGCTACCCCAACACAACCACGTGTACTCTGGTGGAGCGAGCAGACTAGTCCACTCAGCTACCCCAGTACAACCACGTGTACTCTGGTGGAGCGAGCAGACTAGTCCACTCAGCTACCCCAACACAACCACGTGTACTCTGGTGGAGCGAGTGGACTACTCCACTCAGCTACCCCAACACAACCACGTGTACTCTGGTGGAGCGAGCGGACTAGTCCACTCAGCTACCCCAACACAACCACGTGTACTCTGGTGGAGCGAGCGGACTAGTCCACTCAGCTACCCCAACACAACCACGTGTACTCTGGTGGAGCGAGCGGACTACTCCACTCAGCTACCCCAACACAACCACACGTACTCTGGTGGAGCGAGCAGACTAGTCCACTCAGCTACCCCGATACAACCACGTGTACTCTGGTGGAGCGAGCAGACTACTCCACTCAGCTACCACAATACAACCACACGTACTCTGGTGGAGCGAGCAGACTAGTCCACTCAGCTACCCCGATACAACCACGTGTACTCTGGTGGAGCGAGCGGACTACTCCACTCAGCTACCCCAACACAACCACGTGTACTCTGGTGGAGCGAGCGGACTAGTCCACTCAGCTACCCCGATACAACCACGTGTACTCTGGTGGAGCGAGTGGACTACTCCACTCAGCTACCCCAACACAACCACGTGTACTCTGGTGGAGCGAGCAGACTAGTCCACTCAGCTACCCCAACACAACCACGTGTACTCTGGTGGAGCGAGCAGACTAGTCCACTCAGCTACCCCAACACAACCACACGTACTCTGGTGGAGCAAGCGGACTAGTCCACTCAGCTACCCCAACACAACCACGTGTACTCTGGTGGAGCGAGCGGACTACTCCACTCAGCTACCCCAGTACAACCACGTGTACTCTGGTGGAGCG